GTAACATCATAATCTCCTCAAGGAAATCACATCACTAAGATGCTGTTGTTAAGACGGGAAACGGGGCAGGGGGAAGATCAGACGGTGATTTAGAAGCATCAACATTTGGCGTCAAAGGCATTAATTAATGCCTTGAAGGCCTGTGGCCTGTAGGGTGAATGGAAACACGTCAGTCACTGAGAGCTTTATATTAATCTTCTGTCCTAGCTAAGTTGGTGTATTCAAAATTAGATTTAATTGCAATGGTTGTGTGGACTCCTCTGGTACCAACAATAACCTTCATTATCTCCTCCAGTGAAGGCCATATTTGGTGACAGGTAAATAAATCTCTTTGAATCTCCTCACTGGTCTTTTTTTCCCCTTCACTCCTAGGTTGAATTATACATCATGAGAACTCACTCTTCACTCTCTTCTGATCCCTCTTGCTCCCTTGCCCTGGCCAAGTTGCTGGAGGTGTGTGCTCCTACAGTAGGCAGCTGGTAAGTGACTTCACATCCCCTTGTTGGTGGCTCACAGATGCCATTCCACTGGGATTATTCCAAGGAAATGCCCCGCCTAATGCAATGCTTGACCCAAAGGCCCCTGCACGTAGCAGTGGATTTTCTAGCCCTGGGACCAGAAATTGTTTTGAGCAGGATTGTTTTTCCAAGGTTACTCCGGTTTTGCCTATTTCACTTATAGACAGGGCTGGTTGTGGCTATGAGGACAATGTCCTTTGGAGTTTTTTTTTTTTTTTTAATTGAATGGTAACTATGTACATTAATGCACTTCTGGGGTACAGTGTGGTGTTTTCACACACAATCCGAAACACTTCCATCAAACTGGTTAACATAGCCTTCATGTCATTTTCTTGTTGTTTTAAAATGTTCATATTCTACTCATAGAAAGATTCACTTGTACCCTTGTAAGATAAACTACAGAAGTGAACCCTCCAATCTTCCTCCCTCCACCCATTCCCCTCTCCCCTCTCCCTCCTCCCTCCCCATATTCTTAGGTTGTTATTAGGTTATAGCTTTCATATAAAAGGTTTAATTTCATAATAGAGGTGTGTACATTGGATACTTTTTCTTCCATTCCTGTGATACTTTGCTAAGAAGAACATTTTCCAGCTCTATCCATGTGAACATGAAGGACGTAAAGTCTCCATCTTTCTTTATGGCTGCATAGTATTCCATGGTGTACATATACCACAGTTTGTTGATCCATTTGTGGATCGATGGGCACTTGGGCTTCCTTTGGAGTTTCAATGAACATTTCTTGAAACTGATATTAAGGATGGGAATTTTCTAAGGAAGCAGTGCCTCAAAGGGATTTTTGGGTGGGATTTTTCACAACTCAAATACAATGAAAGATCCTTCGCTCTATAAAAGCCCCTCCATTTACTGATGGGTCTCCATCCTGATAAGCCCATAATAAGCTGAAGATATTCCAAGTTGAAAGTATGTTTTCAACCTAGAACAATCATAAGTCAGGAGCATCATAAGTGTTTTGTGTATTTGTGGTATAAATGTTGGGGACTTGTTCTAAACTGACACGATCATCTTGGTGTGCCATGTAGGGTCACCTTAGAGTAAATGTGGTCTTCAGGGGTGAACAGTCTAGAAACCACCTTTTTCTGAAAAGAGGCAGGTTCTCAGAAGTCTAGGACTTCAGACTCTCTGTAGGCCTTAGTTTTGTGAGACTGGACTTCAAGAAATTTGAGAGAACTTCAGGAGCTCTTTGCTTCTGCATGGAGTTAGTTTTCCTACTTTGTACATTAGAACCCCTGGCCCTCTTGGGTTCCAGGGACCCCAGGCAAAAGGAATTCTTAGCTGAGAGTCTTTAGTGACATTTGGATTGTTTCCTGAGGAGCTTTCTCCTTTAACCCTAGGGATAATCAAAATGTATGAACAGCACAAAGATAGTTGAGGGGAGGCGTGAGGAGGCCATGAGGGTCCTGGTGGCAGGACAGCTGCCCAGCTGTGTTCAGTCCAGGGACCGCAGCATGGACTTGCTTCATCTGGAGCTGTTTCTGGGACATTTAGCTTCTCTCACATCCTTTCATCATTATAAATGGCTTTCCCCGAACACTTCACACCAGCCTCACTCCTTGTATCCCTACTGTGGCCTTCAGGTGATGAAACAGGCCATTTGGACTGGGCATGAGCTTTCACAAGAAGGTAGATAATTTCATGTAAATACTTAACCCTGAGAACCACCTGTTTAGCCATCTGATTCCAAAATTGTTTATTTTTCCACTCTGGGAGAATCTTCCCAGGAATGGGTTCAATCTTTTAGGCCTAGGATTATTTTTTGTTTGTTTTTAACCTCAATCCCTGTTCCTGGTCTGTTATGAATAGAAACCCACTACTAGGATGGGAGTCTATGTTTTTGTTTGCACATAATATTCTTCCTTCAAAGAATGATCCCTCTCCTTAAAATAATCTCATCAGTCCCTTGAAGTCCCTTTCAGGTCCTTCTCTTCCAGGAAATGACCAGGGTCTTACACTCTCCAGAACTAAAGCCTTCCCCTGCCCCCCAATGATCCTTTTGGTAATTAATCATATGCATACTTTATGACACACTCCAATGATCACTTCCTGGTGAGTGTAATGCCCACTTCACTTACTCAGCCTTGCTAATTGTGATGTATGGCAGACGTATCTATCTCTGCCTGATGACTTTTGGGGATATTAACTTTATTCTGCACAATGGCTTTGATTTGGGCAGATGTTTTTATCTATCGCCCATGTCAATCTGTTTTCCGCGAAGGAAATTTGGCTGACCTTCAAAGGACGAAGATTATCGACCTTTCTTGGAAGCCAATGAAAGTGACATCACTATTGATTTTTTTCGAAGATAATTAAATGCAGCACAGTAGTTGTAAAACAGATTTTGTTGTGTTGTACATTTTATAAAATAAGCATAGTTCCCATTCTTCCAAATGACGTCCTTTGTAGCATTTTACCACAGAATAAGGACTCTCTGAAAACTCAACTAACAAATAGTTAGACCTACTTGCTCTAAGAATAAGGTCAAAGTTAAACTTTTCCGGATGGAAAGCTCAGCAGATGAAATAGTGTACCCCAGAATAAAGCATTCAGTGCTCTAGGTATGTTCAATAAGCCTGTTTGCATGGCTTATTGACTTGTCTAAGAAAAAACAAGAGTCGTTCAGATTAATCTGGTGGACTAATTTTAAAATCCGAGAATTTTATTTACTAGAACTACTAAATTTAAGGCTAGGTTGCTAACAGTTTCCAAAGAATACACTCTCATTGAAGAGAGACCAATGAGAGTTTATAAACATGTGTTTATATATTTTTCACAGTAAGATGATTCTATCTCACCAGCTTCAGTATTAGGAAAATTAGAACCATCACTCTAATGTGTAATTTTCTTTTGTCTGTTCTAAAATATTTATCAAGTTAATTCATGGACTTTCTCAATTCCAGAACTTCAAGAATTTGTGGCGAGGCTTGAGAGAAAATGGTAGCTTGTAGTAATATAGAAAGGAGTCAACTGTGATTGTGGAAACGCAGGTTCTCTTGCTCAACCGGTTTAGTCTTGTGTGTGTGCTGCTGACAGTGACTTCAGGCTCACTGGAAGGTGATAATTGATGCCTTCATATTTGTGAAGAGCTAAATACCCTGAATATTTTGGTATTTTTAAGTAGATAATTTTAGACAGACATAATAAAGCTTCTTGTTCTTAGGTCTCAGTGCTGGTTGGGGTGAGGGAGAAAGAAGGTGGGGATCACCAAAAGAACACTGCCTACCTCAACAAGAAGGTCATACAAATGGCAAGGTCTCTTTTCAGGTTATTGGGTCACAGGTGGTTTACTGTTCTTTGAGTTTTCAAATAAAGTGCATCTTGGTTTCCTTACTTTTAAGCAAGTAAAGACAAATTAGGTAAAAAGTGGGAGAATGATCCCAGGCCCAGAACATCAATTCAGTTCTCAGCAGGTGTGAGTCTAAAGTGCCTCTTTGCAGGAAAGCAAGCCACCACCAGCTGTGCACCTGCTCCTAGCATCCAAGGGCTGCCAGGAGAGAACTGACTCAACAAAATCATTTATCAGCCAGATGTAGTTTTGTTTCCTCTTTTTAACAGGGGTATATTTGTTGCCATCTCAATTATACCTAATCTAAGGGGAGAGAATGTACGTGAAAGGGCTTGGAGAAAGTAAAATGGCTAAGTATAATACATGCAAGATTCGTGACCAGACTACATCAGACAAATCCAGCTCTGTCAGGGCTGTTCTCCATACTTACCAGAGAGCGAGCAGAGAAAATGCACAGACCCACTCCTCTTTTGCAACAGCTCCAAACCCAGTGAAAGAATCACTGAAGTGGTCGGGAAAGGCAGTCATTTCAGGGATATATTTCAAGGATAAATAAAAGTTTGAGAGAGAGAACTGGCAGTTACTGTGTGCAAGTGTTTTTCTGTGAGGTGGAGAGGGTGGTTGATGAAGGGGCAGGAATCAGTGTGTACATTTCCTGTTTCTGTTACCAACCCCCTCAGGGTTTCCTTGACTCCTCGGGGGCACCTTCTACCGTCCTCCTTTTAGCTGCTTTAATCTTATCTACAGGGCACTTGCTACATGGATGAACATTTGTCCTACAGCAGCAGTTCTCAACCTGTGGGTCGCGACCACAGGAACTGTATTAAAGGGCTGAGGCATTCGGGAGGTTGAGAATGACTGTCCTACAGGGTTAAGAATGAGCTTGCAAGATTTTGCAGTAGAGGATGCTAAAGTCAGGGAAGAGTGGCCAGAGATGAGCATCAAGAGGGAGGCATTAGCACTGACATTAAAAACATTCTGCTCTTGTCTGTTCACGTCTAAAGTTGAGGGGCCCGATGTCTAGAACCTCAAACCTTAAGGAAGTAATCAAAATTACAATGGGTGAAAATCTTCTCTTACCTTAAAGACTTGTGTACACTTCAGAGCAGCGGTTTTTTTTAGCTAGACTTAAAGAAAATATTTTTTTTCTTAGATTCTTGTTTATGACTTTAAACAAGCAATTCACTTTAACATTTACTCTTTATTGTGCTGTATGAAGTACCTATGTAATGCAAGTATGTACTGTGCTAAAATACCCATTTCCAAAGAACATTTCGTGGTGTAGCCCACAGTCTCTGCAGAAGCATCAGAAGTAAACTGTGCCTTTATGCTTTACAATCCATTATTGGCTGCTGTTAGAAGTATGATAACAGATGAAGAAAAAAAAAAAATAAGGCTAAGTATGAATACACTTTTCCAAACACACACATACACAGCTTACAATGGAACCCCAAAGGAAAACAAGTCAAATGACCACATCTGATTATCTATAAAATGTAGACTCTGCAATAAAAAGCCAAAGGCACGTAAAAATATATTTTAACTTTAAAAATAACTTAGTTACAGTAATACTTTGCTTGTGTCTTACCAACATGTAGCTGACAGTCAAAATTTTGCGATATAGATAAAACATATAGGGATACATAAGAACTATAAGAAAATCCCCCCAAACCTACAAAGTTGTTCAAATGTGAAAACAGAGAAAAGCTTTAACACTGGAGAATTTGCTATGGTGAGCCCAAACAATATAAGATAGAAAAAGAGTCTAGAAAAAAGGCTTAGGTGTTAAATAAATTTTGACTTCCTCCTGCTCAGAAAACATTGGAGTGTCGTGAAGTTCTGTAAAGTTCCTCAACGTGACTGGTCCAGCCCTTCACAGCTGGTGCCAGTGCCAGCCAAGCCAGGTTTCTTACGTGTCTGAAAACAACAAAAGTGAGCTGATCTGCCGAAAACGGGTTCTGACTCACTTCCTCTTTTTGCCAGGGCGCTTTTATTTATTTATTATTTTTTTTCCGAACTGTTTGTGCAAACAGGTAAAAAAAATATTTTGTAGGAACATTACTTTAGAAAACCCATCACACAACTGCAAACACAGCCCGGGAAGCCCTTCTTTCAACTGTGTGACGACTGTGGTTAGTCTAGCTTAGCTTTTGTTGTTGTCCGATGCTTTTTACCCCAGAGGAGAAGAGCTGGCATCCTGTTACTTGTTTTTATCCATGACGTTCAGCACCTCATCCAAAAGTGAGGGCCCAAAGTCGAGCTGCAGGGAGAAGAGGGACCCTGTGAGATCAGAGAGGGATTCCTCTGACTTAGTCTTTTCCTTGACGAGCTCACATGGGGCAGGATGGTCAAACATGTCCTCGGCAGGCCAGTCGGAGTACTGTTCCGACAGGCTGGAGGAGTGGCTGTCCCTGCCCTGGCTGGACTGAGATGCAGAACCACTAGAGCCCCACGAGGTGTCTCCCTGGTGGACTCGCCCTCTCTCCAGCAGACTGGTTTTCTCCTGACCTTTCTCCTCCATGACGGGCTCACAGCTAAGCCTGGGCAGCTTTGCAGGCCCAAAGGATTCCTGTTTAGAACTAAACGTCACTGGTGACAGTAGAGGCAGCATAAGAGCTTGGGACCCTCCGATGGTCGGGAGGGAGATGGCATTTTTGAGCACTGGAGAGGGTGTTTCTGAGAACATAGAGTCTGAAGTGCTGTTGGCCCGGAAGAACTCGTTATGCCCAGGGAACTGGCCCATGCATGCTTTCTCCTGGTTCCCCGGTAAAAGCTCATAGTTCCCCTGAAGGAAAGAAATATCTCCAAAAACGTCGTGCTGGCCCTCTTTGCCGATGTGAATGGTGTGGCGGAAGTCTCCAAGGGGAGGACTGATCATATCAGGAGACAAAATGTCCCTCAGTTTAAATTTCTTTCCTTTCTTGTTATTGGCTGCTTTCAGATAAATTGGGGTCTTGGCTGGCATCTTGGAATTTGAGAATTATCTGTTTCACAAGAGGGAAAGGGGGCCACTTTCTTCACAGATGTTGTATGTTTCTGAAAAATCCTGTTGGATAGGAACCATCACATCATTTTTCTCAAGTGACTTCAGAACTGGCTCTGAAATGAGATGTGGTCTAAGAGACCTTCCTGTGGGTACAGCCAAGTGGTGCTTCCTGGAGAGTTGGTTACATCATCTAGCTCCTTCCACAAGGAAAAACCTAGAGAAGGAACCAAAGCAGGTTATAATCGACCTTCAGGGTTTCACAAAAGCCTGTAAATAATAGTAGGGCCAACTCCCACCTAAAGCTGAACTTTACCTTGTCTTATTATTTCCCTCCATTGAGTAGGATGAAAACTTTAATCTTAACAAGAGATCACTAATCTTAGTCTTAACTTCAGGGGGAGAAAGAAAAATGGAGAGAGACAAGAACCTCAGACCTCTGGCTTCAGCATTTTGTAGACATGGCCATGGACATAATTTTCTGGATGTTTCTAAGATAGTAGTTTTTTTCCTCCATTCTAAGAACTTCTTGTCAGCACATGACCAGTGATTTCAGCTTCTTAGGTACTAAATGATTTAAAATATATTTTCTCTTTTGCTTTGGTGTACACACTAGCAAGACTAATATTTTGTTGTTTAGTTCTGTATATAAATAAAATTAATGCAATAAAATGAGTGCTTTATAAGGAAAGAGCAAGAAATATTTACTAAGTGACAATAACTATTATATGCTAATGTCCAAAAAAACTTAGGGAATGCATTCTATATGTGAAAAATCTGAGATTCCAGAGCTCTCTCCTTCTTTTAAAAAAAAAAAGAACTTCACCCTTTTATAATAACATATAGCAAGTAAACAGAAGAGCTAGAGTTGGAATCAAGTTGTGGCAGAGAGTACTGGGCTTTCAAGGACTTCTGCATTTGGAGGCATTCTGAGATAGAAAGAAAAGAATAAAACTGCTTCAATTCAAAGAAAAACATTGTGATCACATGGAATAGGTTGAGCCTTCACTTGGGAACACTTTTGAAATAGGGCTGATAAGACTTCTCTCTTCCCCTTTCTCCTCACCCCCTAAAAGTAGGCAGAATTCTATGGGAGCTCTTAGGATCTTCCTCCTGGTATTAATGCCTCTGTGGGTGGAACCTGTAATTTGGTTTAACCACCAGAATATATCAGGTCACCCCCTGATTACGTTAGAAGTTTCCACCTGAGCTGGCAAGGGAGAGCCCCCCACCCCCGCTTGTTTTGAAAAAATAAGCAGGCTTTTGTGAGAGGGATTGTGGAGATGAATTATGCCAATAGTGTTAAGGAGCTCAGATCAGTGGATCTTTCCCCGGTTGAGCCTCTGATGAAACTGCTACCCTGGCCCACACCTGGATTATAGAGCAGTGAGACCCTGGACATTAGCCCCATCTAGAAACTGTGAATTTGTAGGCCCTGAAGTTTGTGGTAGTTTGTTATCAGCATAGAAAATGAACACGTTCTCCCTGCAGAACTATGTGGTAAGATTAGAAGTGACTAGCTGTGTTGGAGGTGTCAGCCCCTCCTTTACTGATGAGACACTCTTATCTCTTGAAAACAATCCTCCACTCCTTCGGCTGCATCAGCTGACATGGAGAAGCCACCACTTTCCCCACTGCAGGAACTCTCCAAATGGCTCTGCTGTGACCTCCCCTGTCAGGCGCTCATTACCCCCAGATGCAGACTGTGCAAATAAATACTCCACAGGCTGGATTAGGGTTGGGTTAGTGTGGCTTGAAAGGAGCCACATTTGCTCTGAAGCAGCAAGAGGATGACTGCATTTGCCCCATATTTCTTCCTTTTCAGCAAGAGTTTTAAGTTTACTCACCAGTGGCAGATGACAAGAACTACTCTCTGCCACCCTCTGGCACAGCAGCAACTCACTCTGTTTGGAAAATGGCTTGCCCAGTGTGTCAGCATCAGCAACGTAGGCCTCAGAAGGCCAAGAACAATGAGCCAGACCTCAGCTTCAAGTGTGGGAGGAGGCCAAGGCAGCAAGAGGAGGTTTGCACCCATGTAGAGTGGGCTGACCACGGGCTGCCAACAAGTCTGGAACAGTTGTGGGTCCTGACAGCCTCTCTGTTTTAGCGCTAACTGGGGTCTGGTCATAGTAACAACAGGTGAAACTTGGGGTCTTCCTGCTAAAACATCAGAACTTCCTTCCCATGTAAGTGCACAATACCCGGGACTGGCCTAGAGCCCCTGCCACCGTGAGGTGGCCTTCCTGCCTCTCTGGGCACAGTGTGGCTGACTGCCTGCCTGCAGCAACAGCTGCGCAGCCCCAAGCAGCAGCTGCCCACTGGAGGGGTGTCTTCAGGCCACATGGCCAGGACAGCAGCTGCCATGGAAAGATACAGTGTGTTCACCACAACTCAGGGCATGGAGGGCTGCCTGTGGCCAGCTGGTGGAGCCAGGGTTGTGTGAGGCCAGGGCCTGGGGCAGGGTGTTCTAAATTACAAAAAAGAAATATCCCACAAAGACTAGCCAGAGAGCAGCTCCCTACCCCTCTCCACCCTTTACTAAAAGAAGGATTTGGGGCAGTGAGAAGGAAGAGGAAAGGGGTGGAGGAAAAGCTTGCTGCTCTCTGGGAAGACAAGGAACAAGGCCCAGTCCTCAGGCCTCCAGGCCAGGACCTGACAGGGAGCAAGGTGCTGGCCAGGCTCTGGCTGTTGGTCACTCCACTCCCTGCCCAGCCATAGTCATGAGTCTGGGGCTTGCTCCGCCTGTTTGAAGTTAGGTTTTATGTCTATGTATGGTGAGACATGGCCAAAAATAAGGAAAAAGGTAAGAAAACAGTTGGTGAGGGGGTGACCTAAGCTGCAGGGAGCGGATTCTGCAAAGAGGGAGGGTACAGCAGCTGCCCCTCCAAAGGCATTCTCGTTCTTTCTACACACATTCACATCACATGCACTGCATGCCAGGGGTGTAGCTTTCTAGGGTTTAGCAATCGTAACTTGCATTGAGTTTCCATTACATGCTAGCCCTAAGAACTCCCAATATTTTGAAGTTATAAAAAAAAAGACAATTTGGACAAAACTTCCAGTTTTTCAGCTTTAGATGAGTTGATGTTTGTGACACTAGTGGCTCTGGCCTAGTCTTTCAACCTCATCTGTTATCTTCCTTCCTCCCGCTCAGGGGCAACCACACTGAATCCCAGGAGAGGCAACCCATGGCCATTGCTTTCTTACACTGACCACTTCCTCTTCTCCTTTCTGGATATTCTGGGCTAAATCCATGCAGCTCTGTCCCCTTCCCTTTCCAGGCTGACTGCTCCTTCAACTTCTTCTCTGCCAACTGCTTATATGGAAACCTAATGGGGTGGTTTCTCCTCTGGCAGGAAGTGGCTGGTGGTGCACAGGGTGTGAGCATCGCCTGGGAAGCAGCAGCCATCAATGCAATGGTCAATATTTATTGAGGGCCTCTCTATGTGCTGGGCACTGTTCAACATTTGACACAGACTAGCTCACCTGGGAGATCCTATGAAGCCACTACTGTCAATCTTCCCATTTTATAAAGGAGACCCTACTGAGGCACAGGTGTTGAGCCACCCCGCCAAGGCCTCAAGGATACCAAGCAATAAGCCAGCTGGCCGGGCTCCCAACTTTGAAGTCTTGATGTGACACTTAATGAGCACACTCCCGGGGAATTCAGTTAGCTCCCAAATTATGAACAGGGGGCATTTCAAAGTCTATTTCAGACACGAATGTGTGACAATGCACTGGGTCGATTAAGGTGGGAGAAGGCCATGCACACCCTGATGGTGGAGGCAGAAATAGGTAGGTCCAACCTCAATGGAAGGCAGTTTGCCTATATGTAAATCATGTGCCCTTTGACCCCAGATTCCACTTACAGGGATTTATTCAACTCACACACGTGAGAAATAACATATAAAGTTATTCAAGCAGCAGAGTTATAACAGTCAAGAGTTGGAATCAACCTGTCTACCTCTAGAGGACTGGTTAAATAAACTAAAGGCATTCATGCAAATGGTATTTGGGTCTAAAATAGAACAAAGCAGCTTTTAACACGCTCATATGGGAAAAAAAAAAGCAAACATATACACTTTCAAAGGAAAGAAGTGCAGAAGTGTGTAAATATATGTGTATTGGCTTGTATGTCTATGAAATATTCCCAGACACAAACACAAGAAAGTAATAATAGTGACTGTCCACAAAGAGGGCAGGTAGGCAGAAGGGGAACAAGGATAGGAAAGAACTTCACTACTTATCCTTTTATGATTTGGGGTTTTCAAATCATGAGAATGAGTAAGCTGTTCAAAGAAATAAAAACTGGTTGGGTGCAGTGGCTCATACCTATTATCCCAGCACTCTGGGAGGCTGAGGCGGTAGATCCCCTGAGCTCAGGAGTTCAAGACCAGACTGAACAAGAGTGAGACCCCATCTCTACAAAAAATAGAAAAACTAGCTGGATGTGGCAGTCTGCACCTATAGTACCAGTGACTAAGGAGGCTATGGCAGGATCCCTCAAGTCTAGGAGTCTGAGTTTGCTGTGAGCTATGATGACACCACATCACTCTACCCAGGGAAACAGAGTGAGACTCTGTGTCAAAAATAAATGAACGAATGAATAGGATTCCGATTACACTTTCTAAAAGAGCCAATTTTATACAAAGTCCTTAGGTCCGGAAAAGCCTATTGGATCCATCCATGAGCTACTGGTCATAATGCCACCATTTCTACAGGGCAATGTGTTCAAAAGCAATGCTGGGATGGCAGCATGTGGACATGTGAGGTCCTCACAAGAGGGTGAAGCTACATCCCATCTAAGCTTGGCCAAGTGACAGACCGATCACTCCTTCCTTCTGTGATCAGGTCTTTGTGAAGAAGCAACATCCAGAGGGATGCAGAATGGAAAAGATCTCTGAAGAGAAGCATTTTTAGTCAGGAGGAAAATGGGAAAGGGCAAGAGGTGGAAAGCACACGGTCAGGAGGGTGGTGGCGAGCGCCACAGATAACCTTCTACTGCAGAACAGCCCTATGTGCTGTGTCATGAAACCCTACCCTCCTCATCGTTCCAGGAGGCTGCTGGTGGCCGACCAATGTGGCAGGACACAGGCAAGGCGTGAGTCAGAGCAGGAAAGCCTGAGTCAGGAGAGCCCCACCAGGGACTCTGCTCTCTGCTCAGAAGGGAGATGGACCTGCTTGTAGGAGGAAGAGGGGACAAGGGAAAAGGAAGAG